TAACTTTAAATTATGGCCATGCTGAGACACCTAGTTGCCCTAGAGGGTCTCCTTGGAGAAGCTGGGGTGCCTGTAGTCCTCATTGCCTTAAGCCCCAGGAGAGCAGAAGATGATCTTTTTCCTGGAGTGGAGTATCCCACTGACATCATGTTTCTGCCTGGTTTCCTGCACTGAGCTTTGCCATGGTACAAAATCAGAGCTCCCGCATCTGGGAGGAGAGATAGTCAAGGGGCCCCAGCCCCAGCAATAGTGAAGAGCAGAGGCAGCTGCCTGCAGCTGGACCCCCGCTGCAGCACTTCGCCCAGGGAGAGAGTTGCACCCTGCCTCCTGTCACATTAAAGCACAGCAGGACCCTGATTTTTAGGTGAGACTTCCCACTGTCCCTATTGCATATGCCTTCAAAGGGATTAATTCTGGCTGACCAGTGCTGGACACAAGCCACAGACATGCCGAGCAACGTATGTTGGTGGGAAAAGCCAAGGATCTATCCAACTACCTGTTGGATTGAGAGATTGGAGAAAAACTTGCAACCACAAACACACTTCAATCCCTATCTCATTATTTCCATCATAATACCTCAGAAAAAGCACAAAACAGGGAATGCATTAGTGTTTTATGACCACGATAACATGACCAGCAGCACATGCAAGGACAGCAAGACCCTGTCCTCATATGGGGAGGACTTGAGAAATTCTCTGCAGCTCATGCTCATGACAGCTTTCTGGTGTGGCCCATCTTCACCCAGGGTATGAAGCAGAGAGCTCAAGGCAAAGCCTCTGCATGTTCCCTCAGCATGCAGGCAGGGCTGCTTGGAGCAAAGCACAGCAAACCCAGCCTCAACCAGAGGAGGCACTGAGTCACATCAAGAGGGAATTACTACCCTATGAGGCAGACCACAGCTGTAGTAGCTCTTGTCCAACTCCTACCATACCAGTATAAAGCTCTGCCTACTGGTGGTCTGTCCAAAGCATGCTGCCTTAAATCCCTTGCAATTAACCCTTTGCTACCTGCATGCAATGATGAAATGGAGCTGGGGGCGGGGGGCAAGGTTAGCATGTTGCACAACATTTGGAAATAGAGGGGTGCAGAGTTGGTGAGCTGCATGGACTACGAGGTGCTTTATAGCAGCCAGTGTTGGCCACACTCATGCATGGACTGTTTTGGACCATGGCAGAAATAGTCCAAGGGAGCAGCCTGGATCGCTGTACCTGTTGTCTCTTCCTCTGAAGTCAACAGGCTCGCTTGTTCTTGGGCACAGGAGGAGGATAGCTGAGAGCTGGTCACCTTGGGATGGCTTGGGAGAACCTGCCCCAGATGCTGCAAACATCTCCCTCCCAGCAATGGAGCACACCACCAGGACCATGACTGCCTCCTCCCAGACCGCAGCTGGGAGGAGGGGTTTCTCTCCTCCTCCACTCCCCTCTCCACCCAGACCCAAGCCCCCTCCTCTCCCCCCTCTCCTTTTTCCTCCCCCACCAATGCTGCCATCTGGTTTTTTACTGATGGCAGGGGATGAGATGTTCCGCTGGCCCTTGAGAGGCAAAGTGCACTCAGCACTAACTTGTATTCCTGACGGGCTCCTGGAAGGGTTTGCATCCCTCCCTCCCTCGCCCGCTGAACTACGTGCCTCTGCGCTCCGGGGATGGGGAACTTGGCAAGGCACGGCGAGAGCCCGGGAGGCAGATGGACGATGAGATTAATGGAAAGAGAAGGGAGGTGGGGAGAGGAGTGAGAAGGATGAGCAGGCAGGCTGATCCGCTGCCAGTGTACGATAAAGATGAGCGAGAATCCTTCTAGCACCATTGTGCAGTGACCTGAACTTTCCAGTGCAAGGCAGGGCTCCAGCTGATGCTGGGAAGGTTGAGGCTTGGCTACTGCTGCCATGCCCCAGCCCAAAGTGACTCCAGCAGGGAGAGACAGTACGAGCAGCCAGGTGGCCTGGATTTCTCTTATGTAGGGTGGTTCCCTTCACTGAGGCATCCAGATGAGAAAGCTTCCTCATCCAACACGCGATCGGCAGTCAATGGAGAAACAATGGCATCTCCAAAGGGTGACTCAGACCTGAGGTGACCTGGACAGTCCACTGGAACAGCATTTCACTGCCCAGTGGAGAGCAGAGGCTGGGCTCCTAAAAGAGGTGCCTCCAGTGAGGGATTACTGTGAAATGAGGAGGAACCTGGGACTAAGGTGTCCCACAGACATGGCAAGTCAAGCTGAACCACATCAGACCCAGCAGGGGCTATGTGCTGCAGGGACAGAACACTTCTCGTGCAGGTAAATGAGGAGGAGAACAAGAAAAGGAGATGTGGTGGGGGGCCACCATGCAGCAAGGGCAGATTATATTCCACAGGTTATATTCCACCTCTACCCAACTCTCGCTGTCTGATGTCTCCATATCCCACAGGAGATTGGGTCCCAAGTGAAATGGCCTCTGAGAATAGGATGGAGACAGGAGAGGAATAGGAATGAGGGTGGAAGCCAGCACGGATGAGGTGGAAACAACACTCAGGGCATTTTCTGTGGTCAAACGAGGGGACTGGTAACACCTCCCTTCTTCTCAGTGCCAAGCAGCTGCTCCCAGAGCAATACTTTGCATGAGATACTTTTGGTAAGAGTTATTCTTTATGGCAAGACAATGACTACTATAAAATATATGTAAAAAATGTTATCTAGGAAGACTTGGCTTATCAATCCAACCTTAACCTGCAGCATCGTAGAAGAAAACCCAATGAAAAGAATAATCAAAGACATGTATGTGAGAAGTGAGGAGGAGGAGGAGAACAGGGAGGAGGCAGCTGTGAGCTGTATCAAAAAGGAGAACACTGGGGTGAAAGAAACTATCTGAGGATGAATCTTCATTAATATTACAGTGAGTGACTGTGACCTTAAGAATAGGCCTGTGCTGACGAAATTGCTAACGAGGAAGAAGGCATTGTTCCACAGAGGAGGATCAGGATATCTGACAAACCGTTAGATGACCCGAACGACTAGAAAGAGAAACAGGATGACATTCACTTGTATAAAACTGAAGGGCAAGCTCTTGTACTGATGGTAAAACATCTGCTGTTAGCTTGGAGCTCATCAGTTGGAAACAAAGTGGGTAGAGAAAGATCTGGGTGTACTTGCTGACCTCAGGATACCTCTGAGCTGCCAGACAGATGCAACTGCAGAAACAACAGATATAGTCCTGGGTCCTATCAAAAGCGACACTTCCAGCACAAGGAAGCTTTGTGCAGGGCTTTGGTGAGACCTCAGCTGGAAGTGTATGTACTTCTTGGTCATTCCTGATGAAAGATTAATTGAAAGCAGAAAAAGCATTAAAAATCCTACAAGGGTGATGAAGAGCATAGACTCCTCATCTTCTGGTAGGGCACTGCAAGATTTTGGCTTGCTTAACCTCCTGTATGCTAAGACTGCTGTCTAGGATTGCTTTCTGAGAGTAAAAGGGGATGATAAGCATCCAGGAACAGAAGGAGGTCATGGTGGCTGTGAGCGTGTTTGGGTGGCCAATGAGAAGACATTGACTATTACTGTGAGATGTTGGGACTTCATCTAGTCTGTTGGTCCCTCTCTCTCACACACACACACGTACACACACAAATAAGCTGGCAATTTTCATTATCCCCTACAGGACCTCTTGCTGAAGACACAGACCTGAGGTGAGCTGCAGGAACCATAGAGGAGAAAAGGCTGGGTTGGTCTGGTGTACCTCAGCCTAAGGGAACATCCTCAAGCCGGTGTCTCTCTTCTTTAACCTGAGCTGCATGGGAAGGGAAGAAGGAGCACCTCGCACCTCATCTGTTTCTTTTTTGGAAGGACCAACTCCCAGAGAGCACAAGGAGTGGTTCTCCCTTGCTAGCAAGAGAACCACAGATAGGATCACCACAACCACCTGGACTGCTCTTCTACATAAGCCCATCCTATTTCGTATACATTGCCCCAGAGCTGATGTGGTGTAGAAAGACCTGGAGCTCCCAAAACACCAGAGGATGCATTGCTAAGCTCTGGTACTCAACCATCAAATACCTCTCTAGCACGCAACACCTCATTCTCCTACACTTGCAGTAGAGACACACAATACAGCCACCAAGTTTGGGAAGTAACTGCTGCACCTTCTGTGGACCATAACATTTCCTTCCCAGGGCCATGCCCCCTGCAGCATTGCCCTTTCTCCCACACTTCAGTCAACAAAGAGCTGAGCTAGGCAGAATCAGCAAGCAAAAGCAATCATTTGCATTGAAATGAACACATAAAAAAAATAATCAGCAAAACCCAAAGCTATTTTTGGTGTGCAAACTTCATTTACATTTTCCTTTTTGGTAAAAATGCCAAATTTTCAGCATACAACATTCCAAAATACCCCCCTTTTTCCTTTTATCCTCAATCATAATAACAACTAGTGCCTGACAAAGACTGCCTATTTTTAATTTCCTTTGCGAACCGATTCCAAGCTGCCTATGATTTTCTCCTGCCTGGTCATTATTCAAAGCGAAATGAGCAGCTAACCGATTTCTGCAAGGAATTCTTTGTCTGCAGATTCTTCAGGAGTGGTTTGTTTTGCATGTATGAGGCTGGAAATCCTAGTTGTTTTGGTTGGACGTGTGAGTCACGCAGGGCTTTTCTGGATCCATGTTACTCTAGAACTGTGGTTCTGGTTAAGGAAATATTCAGGCTTGGAGTCAGCACAAGCTTTTTGGGGATACCCCTTGCCAGTGAAATCCTTTTGCTAGAACATTCTTCCCGGGCTGGCCAAGAAGAAGCAGGAGGCAAGGAAGGAAATGGGTTATTCTGCAGCTCTCGTTCCCTAGCATTGGCCTGGCTGTGGGGGACCATACCCAAGGATGCTTGCTCTGGTCTCTCTGCTCAGCCAGCAAGCCCTGGCCCAGCTCAGAGCAAACATGAAATCAAAGCTATCCGGCTTCGAGTTGGAACAAGTCTTCATTGCCAGGAGCTCTCCTGCAAGGAGCAGGCGGCTCGTGCTGGTGGTGGTGGGGGCTTACCTCGCACGACTGGATGCAGTGAATGACAGAGGGGTCCGGATACCACCGCAGCCTGCCCGTGCACACAATATGCTGAGGAGGAAAGGAGAAAAGAGCTGTTAGGCAAAGTGACAGAGGGAGGGCAACAGCCACCAACGCTCTCTGGAGGTAGAAGGGTCTCCCACAACCTTGTATTGCTCATTGTGGTGCAGAACAGCAGAGGCACCCCCAGGACCACTCCCTGCACCTCTGCCCAGCAGGAAACACTTTGAAGCCCATCAGACCCAAGGCAGCTGCCCCTGGATCACCCACAAATCCAGGTACATTGCTCAAGGCAGCAGCTAGATGGACACACATGCATGTCTATGTAGGTGTGCACAGATACACAACTGAGAGAGAACAAAGGGAGGTGGCAGGAACTGTCAGAGAAGTGGGTTTGACTGGCAGTGCCACCTCATGGTGGATGACTTGGACACAAAGCTGCTGCTGGGAGGAAGCCACCCAGGGCCACGACAGGCTGAGTCTGCCATCACCTCTCCACATAATGCAGGATTCACCAGCTCCTCGCCTGTATGGGGCAGGGGGCTCAGCCGGTCATCACCGGGTGCTTGCATCAATTTGCTTGTTGACCCTTGCTCACGCTCCAAGAACCGAGCCCTGGGAGGACTCGCCTCCCCGGACCTGGCCTGAGGCAGATACACCAGACTCACGTTCACTCACGGGGCTGAGGTTATTGCTGGTTATGAGGCACGAACTCAGCTGTTGCAGCCAACTGGACAGAAGAGCAAGATGTGAAGGGCTCGGTTTCATTGTGCTGGAATGCGTCGTCTCGCTCATTCAGCGGGAACTTGAGGGGAAGCACTCATGATTATACAGGGGGAAGAGAAGCCCCACCGCACATGCAATTTCCTCCTTGTAAAGCTCAGGCAGACTTTGAAATCTGAGGCCCCATAAAACGACAGCTGGCCTGTGAAAGTGTCCTAGGATGCCCTTCACAGAGCAGGAGTTGCACAGAGGGGCACATATGTTTTCGCCCAGCCTCCCATTTGAGACCTGCAGCAGCAGGCAGACTGGCTCCAGCATTCCTGGGTGGCACAGCAGCTGGGGATGGGGCAGCTCTGCCCACACAGACCTGCTGCAGGTCCTCCCGCTGCATGTTCAGTGATGGGGCTGGGGCAGGATGGGCTCCTGGCCATCCTCAGCCAGCGCAGGGAAAGCAGACCCAGAGGGAGCCGCCATCGGATGGGGCAGAGGCTGGGGATGCTGGCTGAGCCAGCCGATTCCTGCTCAGCCCAGAGGATGTTTGCATCCTAACCCTACTGGGGTGTTTCGCATGTGGTTGTTGTGCAACTTGAATAGCATTTTAGCATACTCATGTTAGTATACTCATATTCTAGGCTGGGAAATAAGGGCAGAAGGACAAACCTGCTCAGCTGTGGGTTGCAATGAATCAGAGCTGAATGCAAAACAGGACTGTGCCCTCCCTGAACGGCCTCTGCAGCTCCCTGTGTGGTTCTCTCCATCCTCTCCATCACCTTGGGAGCACGGCAGCTCCTGGGAATGGCAAGCTGTTGGAGCTTGGAGGAGCAAAGCGGGGAGCAGAGGCAGGAGCCGGGGCAGAGAGGAAAACAAGACAGTCCAGGGAGAGAGATCCTGGCAAGGGGGAGAACCACTTCTTAAAATAACGCCTCCCCTCCCTCCTCCTCTTCTCTGCAAAATGCCTCCCTTGCACGAGAGCCCACAGTGGCAGCGAAAGGGAAGCCGAACGCCACCGCCTCGACGGGCCAAGCCATCCAATCCCTCAAAGGCAAGGACTCCTTCCAAGGCTCGTGCTTAACCATCCCACACGCCCCAGGCGTCCTCACCCCCCGGCAGTGATCCGTCATGGGTCTAATTCAAGGCGATGTACAGTAGTATCCACAGGCACGATGCTGGGCCTCCTGCGGGTTCCCAGTAGGAGGGGAAAGCATTTGGATGGGAGCGCTGGCTCCTGGGAAGATTGTTTGCTTTTCTTTGTTCCACCTCCTTCCTCATGCATCTCGTTTTTATTTTAAGAAATATTACCCCAGCAGAGCTGCTTTTTGGGAAAGTCGTGCCATGAGGATCCAAACTATTTGAGCTATTTGAGCTGTTTTGCCTACCAAATGAGTAAGAGATGGGGAGGGAAAGGCTCCCCCGTTCCAGCGGCAGAGGTAACTGGCCGGCCAGTGGGTCCTGGCAGCCGGAGACACCTTTCAGCTGACGGTGTCCTGCCTCCTCCCTGGCAGGGAGATGCCTGCCTGGGGTTGCATCTCTGCTGCCAGGTAATCAGGGACCCAGGCTCACGCCGTGCCAGGGCAGCTTTCGCTCTCCCAGCACACTGGCTGACAATAACAGCAGCTTAGCAGGTTTAGGCATGCAGCACGTCCTGAAAAATCAGCGGGATTCCTGCATTTAACTTCATTCATTGTGGTATCCTGCAAGTCCTTGAAAGCTGGCTTCGGAGCTGATAACTTATGCTGAACTTTGGTATGGGAGAGCAGGAGGCTGTGCAGTAGTGTCCGCAAGGGAGGGAAGAGGAGGAAGAAGTGGTGGGAGGGATGCGGACCTTGGCAATGGAACCTGGCTACAGGGAGCAGCAGGCACCTCCAGAGCAAACATGCTGGGCAGCTTCTGCAGAGAGGGCCAGCCAGTCCCGAGCTCGCTTATGCTGCTTGTCTTTCCAAGTCTGACCCTTCTTCACCCAAAGGCAAAGAGATTTTGGATAAATACCACCAGATCAAGAGGAGGGGTGCTCCCCTCTATGCTGCCAGAAACCCCCCTGCTAGAGGAATCCTCCTCCCCATTTACCTGGACTCTGGTGGGCTGCAGACGGTGATCCATGGTCTCAGCAGTTACGTTTTCGGGCAGTATGACAGGGTCGCTGGGAGGTATGACACAGGAAGGTACGCACACAGCGCCTGTGGGAGGAGAGCGAGCCTTGAGGGCTTCATCGGGAACCAGGCAATGATGTTTTACAGGAGGGCACCAGGCCCAAATGTGTAGGCTCCTCACTGAGGGTAGAGGTGGACATAGAGGAAACCCTTTTCTTCCCAACCTGGGATGACAATTCCTTCCCCAAATCCTGAATTATGCAAGAGCCTACAGCAGTTGTGGCCAGTTCCCTTCTCTCAGATGAGAGGAAAATTGAACACGCCTTAAGAGAGAGATTCAAGCCCTGATAGCAGGACATGGGATCCAGCATGAAAATAAGTCTGGTCTGAATGCTGTGGGATGTTTGTGGACGTGTTAGGAAGCATCTTTCATAGTTTTTCTACCACGCTGAATTCCCACTGCCTTCCTAGGACCCAGGAAAGAAAAAAAAGCTGCAAAAACCACCTTAGAAAGCCAGGTGGATTCCAGCCTCACACCAGGTCTGTTCAAAGCTTAACCTTAGCAGGCCCTGCACTTAAACTTGCCTCAGCCTGTTTTGATCGGACCCGGATGACCGGTGCATTTGCTTCAGAGCGATACGGGCTTTGCTCAAGCGCCCTGTCCAGCGGGATGCCAGATGAGATGCAATGACTGTGACTGAGCATCACAGCTTTTCCCGAAAGCACGAAGCAACCAAAATCCTGGAGAAAGAAATGGGTGATGTGGTCCCTCATCTGGTGAAAGTGCCCTGTTACACACAATTGTCACTGCGGCTTTTATCTAGGACCTGCCACATTAACCCTGCAAACATCATCTGCAGTAGTAACAAGCAGAGAGACCTCAGGGGGATGGAGGGATAGAGATTAGGAAAATTACTGCGGAGGGCTGGGTTTGCCCTAGAGACTATTCCCTGCTCCTTCTGAAAAGAGACATGCTTACACTGGAGCCAGATTTAGCTTTGATTCATGCCCTTGAGTACAACCAGAGCATGCACAAGGCTAAAGCCATCTCTGGCTCTGTGTTTAGAAAGAAGATAGGAAAGAAAACAGGATTTTTTTCATAGATTTAGCGGGGATTGGCACAAGAAGAGTCTTTGTGATCTTCAGCTCTCTGGGAGAGCTGAGTCAACATAAGGTTTGGGTTTCTGTTTAGTTTTCATCTGCCCTCACCTATGCTGTACCCCTGCTCGCACTTGTACTCCACGAAATTCAGCTCCGGAGGTGGCGGGCAGGTGCCCCGTAAGCTCTCGCACAGTTTGAACTCCTCTGTCCATAAGCCCTCCTTGGTGCAGACGATGGGAACCTGCAAAGCAGAGGGAGAGCAGCCAGTGTTACTACCAGCAGTGGCAGGGGTCACCCCGCCCTGCACCGGGCCCGCCCTCCTTGGCCACTGCCCAGCTCTGGGGGGAGCAAAATGCAAGGACCCCACTCCTGCCAGCGAAGTCCAGAGGGAAGTTCTCCAGGGCAGCTGGGTTGCAGCCATCTGGTCCAGCCTATGTGTGCTTTGCATTACTGGCCAGAAAAGAAATTGCTTTCCAGGTGCTGCTGGATCCCACCAGAGGGAATCGACTGTACTTCTGTTGACAAGACCCTTCCAGCAGGTTGGGTGTGAAACCTGGGAGGAAGGGCCTGGCAGGCAGCAGTCCCCATCCCCAGGCAAGCCCCTTGGTTAGCAAGGTTGCTGCAGCAAGGCTGCCCATTATCCCAAGAAAATGCATTCGCAGCAGCTCCCAAACCCCATTGGAAATGCTCTACTTTTGCTTTCCAACCCTTTTCACTCAAGACAAGCAGGCTTGCTTAGGACCACCGCTTTTTTGGAAGGGTCACCAGGGAGTAGGATAGCATCCCCAGGCAGTGGTGCACCCTGTGCCATGGCTGGTATCCAGCAAGCAAACCTTTGGGTTTGCAGGGCAACTGCTCTTTGGTGGTACAAGGGCATTTGGCCCTGGGGATGGCCCAGCTGCCCCGGGCCCCCTCTGCACAGCAGGGCACAGGGAGCCTTGCTGTTTTCAGGTGCTCTGAAGCACAGCGCTTGGCCTATCTCTGCCTCCTCCCCAGGTCACTCACCTGTTGTCCCTGCGGCTCGCAGTTGAGGATGCACTGGCTGTCCAGCTCGAAGCCCTGGGTGCAGTTGTACATGCCCTCGAAGACAGGAGGGGGTGGCTCGCACAGCACGGGGACACAGCGCCCTTCTTCCCACTGCCCGCTCTCCAGGCACTGGACTTTCAGGAATTTCCTGGGGAAACACAGGCACCAGACTGGGCTGCAGCACCCTAAACAAACCCCACCTTGCTGTACCAAGCATCCCACAGATGCAGGAGCAGCCTAGAGATGCCTCTCCTGAAGCCCAACCAAGCCCCCCTGTGGGGCTTTCCCATGCCACCCCACCCCTCACCACGGGCAGATCCTCCTGAAGGGACAGCCCACGCTCAACCAAGACCTTTTCTTCCCCTCACTCAGGAAGGTCACACTGGTTTAGGAGCACTGGATGTTTTTTCCTTGCACTCACCACTCTATTGCTCCCCACCTCTCATGGGCTCCTAAACCATTCCTCTCTGCCCCGCAACCCCCGTGCGTCCTGGGCTGCCTTGTCCCACCGCCAGTAGCTACATACTTTGCTGGATGGAGTGAGCCTCCACCAGTAAATCCTGCTGGCCTGGGCCCAGCTGCTCCTGAGGCTCCTCTTTGTACTCCAGCCAGATCTGTCAGTCCCGTTCTCACCAAGGGGCTGTCATACCGCAGCCGACCAATATCATCCTGTGCTGCTAAAACAGCCCAGGCACAAACTACTTGCCAAAAAAGGGATGAAAAAGAAAGGAAGAAAAAGTCCAGGAGCGGAGCCCACCTGCTTTTCAGTCTCCTGTCCTTGGCAGCAATAGAGACACTGCATCTTTTACACAGAGGCGTCAAAAGCACACGGGACATTAGGCTGGCTGGGGACCGCCAGAAGAGGACATGTCACTGCGACCCCAGATTTTGACACACAGGTTTGACAGCACTGATGGGCTTTACCTGAGCCAGTGCCGATTACTTCGTCCTTAATGAGACTTCCCCCCTCCCCACCCCGTCCTTCTTTACTGGGCAGCCTGCTCCTGCTGCTGGCCCCTGCCCTCTCCCACCACCGGTGCCAGCAGGCAGGGCTCCAGGTGCTGCATTATGGAGCTTATAGCACACCGCACGTACGCAGAGAGGGGTTTCATTGGGTTAAAGAAAACAGTCGGAGAAACTTGGGGGAGGCACTAAATTCCTCCTTAGTTCTGAGCAGCAGCAGATGTTGCGTGGGGCCACCTGGCTGCCCCCCAACGCATGGTGCAGGGTCACGCAGCCCAGAGTGGTGAGGGGAGCCCACCTGCACCCCACCACCAGATCTGGGGCAGGAGCTGGTGGCCATCCCCCTCACATTTCTGCCCGGATGGGAAATTTGAGAGCTTTTTGAAATATTCTCATATTTTAAAATATTTGCAGCTCTTAGAGATTCCCCTTCTCCCTTCAGAAAGCAGGGATCTGTTTTTCCTAAAGACTATAAAAGGGGGGCAGTGGGTTCCTGCTGTGGTGAATTCAGGCTCCAGCAGGTAACGTGGAGGCAGGCAGAGGAGGGGATGGGACATGGCAGGTCCCCCAGCACAGAGCTCTGCACAAATCTTCCCACCAGACCATGCTGGGACCATGGGTGGCTGCCGTGTGAGCACCTGAGTGGCAAGTAGTGCTGCAAAGTCAGCCTGAGAGCAGTAGCCTTGAATTGACTGAAGGCAGCTGCAACCACGTATTATTTTGGAAGGGTGGTGAGGAGGAGCAACTCTGGATCCCATTGTGGGCACCTGTGGTTTCAGCCCATCCCTAATTTAACTTTCTTGGTTGCTTGCCCTTTCTACTGGGATGATGGTCACTGCCTTCCGAAGATATCCCAATCAGACCTTGCCTCCTCCCATGTCTATTTGAACTGAAAGGTACTGAATCATGCTGGATGTCCAGGTGCTCAAGCAGCATTTTCCCCTTCTTGAATTGCCTGGCACGCAGGGGGCAATCCAGCTGTACGACTTGCAAGGGGTAAATCCCTGGGAGTTAAGCTTTACGGCAATAGAAGCAAACTGGTGGTGCAAAGCCTGACTGCAGCAGCAATGCCTCAGGCACTAAGGAAAATCCTTTGCAGGCAAGGAGCATTGCAGCCATATGCTGCTTCTCACTCCTCCACTGGCCACCAGGGTATAACCGATGCAGCCACTGCATCTCCCTGTTGCTCCTCCAAATCGCAGCAGAGGGCCTTTGCCCGGGAGCCGTGGGAAGGCCTGGGGAGAGGGGCCAAGTGTGGGGAGGACACGCTGTGGGAACTGCAGTTTGCACAGGTGCACGCTGTGGTTCAGAGCCCCATCGTCTTCGCCAGAGCTTCTCATCTTGATGTGGTGCTGGAGTGACCCCAGCAGGGACTGGCCACCATGCATGGCCTCTCCCACCTCTCCCCAGACCTGCACATGCACACCCCCCCCCCTCAGACCTGGGGGGAGAAAGCGCTTTGCTCTGGAGGCTTACCCCACCACCAGCATCTATGCTGGGGAACTTCAAACAGGGATAGCCTGGGCTGACCCCGGGGTAGAAGGTGGATTTGTGGACCACTGCTGCATGTATGAAGTGAGCAGTTTATATTAAGGCACAGAAAAGGGAAGGGAGAGGCTTTAAAAAAAAAAAAAAAAACAAAGCCACAACCTCATAGCAGCTTGAAATTTCCGGACCCCCCAACTTCTTCTGATCTGGGTTAGCGGCATTTCTCGAGGATTAACAAGGAAGCCAGGAAAATCAGAGTCAAAGCTTCCCCCTCCAACTGGGCAAGCAGATGCCTAATGGGTAGAGAAGGCAGGGGAGACGTCTGAGGCCAGCAAGGGCTGTGTCTGATGTGAAGGCATGAACCCTCGCCCGGCTCCGGGAGCTGAGCACGCAGGAGCCTGGCTGAGATCCAGACACATACTGGGGCAGTCAGCTTTGGGGAACTGGGTCTGCTGTACAGGAATGGTGATAAATGAGCCCAAAGCCTCATCTCCCATGGCAGGAGCCTGAAAGCTTCAAGAAGAACAGGGGGGAAAGCAGGGAGATTTGATGGTAAACTGAAAACAAGCAATGTCAGCTTTGTAGGACCTTTGCCGCTGTGTTCCAAACAGCCTGAGCAACCTGGGCTGTAAATCTTCATCAGAGACCTTAGAGGTAGAAGTGACACAGGAGTCCAGTTGACAGCCTGTGTTTTCTTTACCTGGCTGCTTGGCTCCCTCAGCTGCACGGGTGTTTGCCTTCTACCTGGAAGGGGCCAGATGTGGGCAGAAGCAGCGAGTGCCCCACGCCTTTGCACCCACCACAAATGTACAGTGGCCTGGCGCCCAGCTAAACTCCAACACTCCTGGGGTTAGGCTGCCCTACTTTGCCTGCTGAGATCTTTCTGGTACACTTCCAGCCCCTAGTCTGCTAACTCCTTCCAGTCCATCTTCTCCTTCACATCCTCCCACCTCCTCTCTCTCTTTCATGGACTCCATAGTCTTTGAATGGGGTGAGGAGGGGGTGGAGGGGCCAACATCTCCATGGAAGCTCATCAGGGGGCTGGGCTGTCTCATGGCTCCCTTGATCTCTGGTCAAAATGCAAGCTGAGGCTTTCAAAGCTGCCTCAAGAGACCCAGGTGCCCAGTTCTTCTTTTCTTCATTCCCCCAAGCTAGCAGAGGGGGCTCAATCCCTCACAAAAGTACCTTTGAGATCCAAAAAATCTCTTCTTTCCAAGGAATCACACCACATTGGGCAAGTGAAACAACTGTTCTGCAGCGTCTGACCTTTTTGGTCCCCAAAGTGAGAGCATCCACCCATGATTAGAGTGCTCCTTTAAAGGATGTCCTAGACATTCCTGTTGGAGAGCTGCTTCAGGTGGCACTTTATGGTGGAAGCAACAGCAAGGGACCACTGTAGAGGTGATGCCCATTTTCCCCAAAGTATCTGACCTCTGACTTTCAGGCCAGCTCTTCTCAATGCTGCAGCCCTGGATGACACCAAACATTGCTCCTGGGCAGTTCATTGCTCTGTGCGATCCAGGGAGGTGGGTTGGTGCTGCCATGGGACAGATGCTGCCCAAAACCAGACACCTCCCATCACAAAGCATGAATGCATGTGTTAAGTTCCCCTCGTTACCATTATTTTGGGGTTAGATGTGAAATAGCTTGACAGCTGGAAAACAGGCTGTTACGTGGGCTCTTCAGGCTGAAATCAGATTTCCTTTAGGAAAAGTCAAAGAAGATTTAACCTTCATGTCAGCATCGTCAGTCAGATAATCCTGCCAGCAGGAAGGCAGCAAATCTCTGGCAGGATCTTGATTACACAATCAACATTTCCTCGAGGATCCCTTGTTGACAAGCAGTGATTTCTGAAGGGCCTTTCCTCACTCAGGTTAATAGATAAAAGCACCTTCTCCAAAACAACAAATTTCTTTATCCCCTTTCTCTTCCACTTATGCTATGAGAAATGAATTTCAACTAAGATTGCAGGAGCCTTCTAAGTTACCTTAACTGCCCCTGCAGTAAAATTCAACTAAGGAAACAGAAGTGAGAGAATCATATGAGCATCTGCTTCCAAGAGCATCTCATCTTGGACAGAGACAGCTGGATCCCAGCCATGCTGAGCCCTGGCTGGGTTGGGCTCCTGCTTGCTCACATTACAGCTTAACTGTCCCTGTCCATGGGGGGATCCAGAGCCATCCCTGAAGGAACGTGCCTATGAGCAGCCCTCAAAGGAAATGACCAAGCTTCTTATAACAGTGCTGTGAAAAGATAAGCATGTGTTTCACACAGTAGCAGAGTGGGTTGCTCCCTTGAGAACCCACAGATGCCCAAAGATGACTCTACACCTTCCCTGGAGAACAGTCCATGTCCCATAGATATTGGCGAGGCCAGCTGCAGGTTACACTCCTTCTATCATTCCCCTCTAAAAAGGCACGATTGCTAGACCTAGAAGAATAATTTGAAGTGAGCCTGACTATATTTCCAAGGTAGGGCTAGTTGGCTGGCATGGGGAGCCTTTAGTGTCAGCTGTGGATCATGTCTGACTTTTGTCCAACATCTAGTCCACAGAAGGAGTCTTGCTTTCTCATGTCCATCAACACCTGTACGACACTAAATCTTCTGGCAAGGCTGGTGCTCACTGGCACAAGCACCCTGGACAACAGGGAGACAATAGATCAAGAATTCAGCCTGCTGA